GGGGGGGGGGGGGGAATTCTGAAATTAGGTGCTCCTTACCAAGCATATGCAGCAGTTCTCGTTGCTCTCAAGAGATGTTGATGACTCGTACTTATGCAGCTTAATGCTTAAATCAAAAGCTCTTGCTCTCCATCCAGCATTAACATTTTTCAGATACCTGTGTAGTTTGAATAATTCCTGAAAGATAAAACACTAGTTACAGGATATCATCTATTCAAAGTATGCTGTATCAAACACTAATTTATTGTGTTTCTAAAGCATTACCTCAGAAGGCAAAATACCCTGCTCATCATCTTCATCTTCTTCGTCTTCCAATCCATCATCACTTTCCTGAAATGTTGGACTCACTTAGGAGCAAACTCATTGAACACCATACCAACAACAAAATTGCACGATAAATTTATAAGAGCAGAAGAGAAATTCTAGCCTTAGCTCTGGGTTATACCAAATTGAGAAATCTGCAAAAACTTCCCTTCATTTTTTTAACTTTTATTTTTTAATGAGCAACAAACTCTTAAATGAGTTGAATGAATAACCCGACAGCGTTGTTCTTATCCAGTTGCAAACAGAAGGTAGACAGTAGGTAGAGAATACAACTACTCTTACATAATCAAGCAACAGAAGAAGTTACTCATGCAAGCATAAGAACAAATTATTGGGTTGCAATATTCAGATGCTAGTAACAAGTGGTGTTAAAACTGATAAATATCTTTTTATGTGGAACTAAACGTGTGCACAATTACACATGAAATGAAGCTCAACTGAAAAGTCACATCATTCCTATTCGTATGCATATAGACAAAAGTTCACAAATACCTTGTTTTGAGTACAAAGAATTGGCGTTGGCATCCCAGTTCCTGAGCTAGGTCAGGGTAGAACGCTAACTTCGTCTATGATTTAATCATTTTCAATTGAGAGATACTCTGTCCTTTTCTTTGGAATAATGTGAAATTTAGGTTATTGGGAAGGCACAGAAAACTACTACTCAGAGAAAACTTACAGGCTAGCAAGATTTTAAGAACCATCGGCTAATACATGTATTTATAATTAATGCAACTCAACAAGGAATAATTGGAAAATAACAATAAAATATTCTGAGGAAGCAACTTTGCCCTAAGCAGCAAATACCTAAAATACTTAAAAGTGTACAATTAAGTTTCAAATCAAGTGTCAAACACGAATATATTGATAAGACATGCAGAGATAAACAAACAAGCTGAAATAGAGTTTTTAAAGACATTAGATGGGTAGAAGGGAGTTCTCAAACAAAGGGGAGATTAGCAAGGAAATATTCTAGAGAAAAATGTTATCATCTCTAAATCCTTCTCCAAAATCAATATCCGCAACGAGCCCAATTTTGTTAAGGAATAGATGGCTAAATAATATAGAACCACCAACATAAAAAAGAGGAGTACGACTGAAACCTTAGTAAAGTGAAGAAACTTAACTGGAATCATGAGAGCAAGATTATTTCGAATCAAGAAAGTCAACGCTGCTGTTGTTTCCTGCAGTCCCCGGATCACGGACACAATACTCTCAACCATCCGTTCAAGAGTATTTTCAACTCTTACCCTATAAGCACCAGTTGAATTAGTAGCAGCATTAAGAGTTCCGTTGAAGGTCAAGTTGCTGTCACCATTAGTTCCGTAGCTCTCCATCTGAGGTGCAATAAGAAATGAATTGCTGTTTGTTAGAGCAATTGGTTGAGATATTGAAAGAAGGGTAGCTTAGTGAAGAGCTTGAAAATATCTATCTCCTTTTTTTTTCTAAAGAAGGTAAGAGAAGAGCTAGAAATTTCTTTTCAACAGAATTCTGGAACAAACTAGGAGGAGGTAACACTAATGTAAACCACCAGTACAGTAGGTGATGGGAAAAACTGAAGGGCAACCGATGCACTAAGCTCCCGCTATGCGCGGGGTCCGAGGAAGGGCCGGACCACAAGGGTCTATCGTACGCAGTCTTACCCTGCATTTCTACCGGAGACTGTTTCCACGGCTCGAACCCCTGACCCCCTGGTCACATGGCAACAACTATAGCAGTTACGCCAAGGCTGCTCTTCCAAGTGATGGGAAAAACTACCTCATTAAAAGACATTCTAAGTTGAAATATAAAGAAAAAGGTAGATATACTATTAAGCTCCAAACCACTCTCGAAAAGCTAGTAGTTTTTTTATTTTATTTAGTTGGAACAAGCTAACTCCTTTAAATAGCCTGGTTATGTTTCGGGATTTTGTTAGCTCTCTGATTCTAGAATAGGCCTGATGTACTAGAGCTATCATTTTCTTTTTCGTGTTTCCTCTTTTGTACTCCAGCATCTACTTGATGCATTATTAAAGAAACAACTTACTTCACAAAAAAACGGTAGATATACTATTAAGGGTTGCAACTAACATGTCCAACTAGGTTAGTATTAAACCAACCCAAGACAACGCTAAATCCTTTGGGTGGGGGAGGAAGGGAAGGGAAAGAAAAACAAAAACTTCTCTGGGAATAGCTATTTTGCATTCTTAGATACGCGGATGATAAATCATAAATGCAACTTGGAAAGTATTATACCAACCCAAGCCAAGTCCAAACACCTAGAGGTCAAAGAAAGGAAGAGAAGGAAAATTGAAACTTAACTTAGCTATTTGGCATTTAGTATTAGGAAAATTGATTACATACGTTCCCACATTCGGAAAACTAGTTAAAAACTATCCGGAACCTCACTAAACATGCATTTCCTTTAAGCCGTTACTCGTTATTTTCCACTACTTCACGAAAAAAATCAATATTTCATGATTGAAGAGTAAAGTAAATTTCACATTAAGCCAACTTCCGGAAAACACAAAATTGCAAAAAGGGAATTATCCATAAACCGTTTACAAGAAAACACAGTTGCCACAGAAGCAGGTAAAGGAATATTTACCTCAAGCGTGCCAAATGTTCCCTTAAGTAGACACGAGATAGAGAAACTTCAGTTGTCTGCAAAAGTAAAAGTCATAGCTCAGGCTGACGAACAACAAAAGAAGTTTAGTAGTATCTGAAAGCAGTAAGTAGTGTTTGATAAAATGCAAGGTAATTCGAACTCTCTTGCCCGAGAGCAGTATCTAGCCAATGATTTTTTTTCATTATAAGCTAATGTCCTTCAAGAAGATAAGGAGCATCATCCGTATCTAATTAATCTGAACTAAAAGATCAATGACAATCACCCGAAAAAAGTTTGTAACACATGTAACTTGTCAATTAATCAATCAACTTTGCTAATCCCAAATTACTTGGAGTTGGCTAAATGAAACCTTTGAATCTACTCCACTCTATTTACGATCTCCCTTGCACCCAAGAAATGAAATGAAACCCCTTGCTCTTTTAGTATTCAAAAGGTTCACCATAGGTAGACTAATTTTTAAGTAATAACATTAAAAAAAAATTTAAAAAGGCATAAAAGGGTAAAAACAACAAGGAAGACATAAGGATAGAAGTAACTTCATCTCTAAATGGGAGAGATTTCAAATGCTAACATATAACAACTTTCATAAGGCCTTTTTTCTTTTGATAACCGTGGTGTGTCCGGGGCAGCTTGCGTACACCTCGACTATTTTCACAGGATACCTGTCACCTCCCCACCAGCAACAGGTACCAAGTAACTTTGTCCACCAAATAACATTATACATTAAAAAAATGAGCACCAATATTTAGTTCTTGCTCGACCTAAAGGATATAACACATGCTCGATTTCCAACTCATCAAGAGCAAGGGCTTTTATTAACCCAAACCAAAGCAAGCACCTAATGAAAGTAAATTTTCCTTTCTTGGTTTCTTTTTCCCTTTTTTGGTTCCCTTTTTCCTTTTTTTAAGGGGTGGAGGGTGGAGAATAACCAAAGATTAGGCTTAGATATGACAAAGATCTATCAGAATCAGAAAACCATTAATAAATATGATAACAATTGCAATCTAAAGTCCTTAAGCAGAAAAAGGCAAAAAACAATAACTTTCTGTCCATGGAGAGGAATCAAAGAGGATTAAGCTTTTAGACAAATTTAGAGTCCAAGAAACCTCGTTCATATCCTCTTCACTTCATACTCCTTTTCCTCCCCAAAATTTGTATATTCAAAACCAGTTCAGGCCATATCTCATCAAAATCAAAATCTGATGCCAAAAATCATAAAATAGGAAATAAATATATGATTAATTAGAAAAAAGGTAAAATTTATATGAATTACCATGGATAATTGCATGACCATCAAGGTAAAAGATTGCATGACCATCAAGGTAAAAGATTCAATGGTATAATCAGTGGCGAAGCCAGGAACTTTAGTAAGGGGATTCGAAAAACTACAAGAATGACACATTTGGAATTTGAATCTACGACTTAAAATTAATTTTGAACCCCTTTATTACACTAGAAGTTTCTCTTATGTTAACTGGCTTCAATCGTTTATATATAAAAAAAAGAATTATTTTTACCCTATTTACGGAGTATACGAAGGGGATTCAATTGGACCCCCTTCCCAATAGGTGGCTCCGCCCCTCGGTATAATCAAAATAAACCAATTTGATTATTCTACATCAAAAGGGCACCTACTTTTTGCATCAAATTTATTAACATACACCACACATCAAACAATAAATCAAGAAAACAATGAAGGGAGGTTTATATCAATAAAGACTTTTTTTCTCACAAAGAACTAACCCTTGAAAGCAGAGACTAACACTCACCAAAATATCAAACAAGTGAAATGCTTTGGCTGCAAACAAAGTAAATGGCAGAGGGAAAAGGGACTATTTAATAAAACAATGAGATTACAGTAATAAAAATTCATGAATTGAGAATTAGAACAACCTTAAAACAAGAGTTACGCGCAAACTAGCCAGGACACAACGGTCATAAAAAAATAAAAATAAAAAGAACAGCCTTAAAAACAAGAGAATATAACAATCAAAATTCAAAAAATTGAGGATAGTAACAAAATTAAAACAAGAGATTACAGCAAATCAAAGGTCAAGAACTGAGGATAGTAATAAATTTAAAACAAGAGATTACAGCAAATCAATAGTCAAGAATTAAAGATGGTAAACAATTTAAAACATGATATTACAGTAATCAAGATTCAAAACTTAAGGATAGGAACAACCTCAATTAGAGCACTCATTGATGAGTTCATACTGACTTATTAAATCTTTCTATGTCAATTAATTTCAAATTCGTATCGGTAAATTGGGTGCGCAGTCACTTTCAACTATTATCACGTATATATTTCATTGAATTATAAAATAAAAATAGAAAAAATACTGCTAATGATTTGAAGTTGGAATTCTTCCTATTAAAAATAGAAAAATAAAAACTAATATAAGTGGTTGTTTGGTTCCAAAGAGAGTTATCTGGGGATTAATAATCTTAGGATTATAATTTCTCAATTGTTATTATTTAATACAAAGTCGATTAATATCACCATTTTGATATAAAATTTGTAGCGATATTAGTTAATATTCATAATCAAACACAAAATAAATACAATAATAAATTATATTATGAGATTATTATCTCAATCGAGGTACCCAAACTAGGGGGGAGCATCGGTCGGTTCAGTTGTGAATATTATCGGTTATTCGTATTGGTTATCGGTTTATAAATATACTAAACCAATAACCGAACCGATAAGATATCGTTTATTGGGTATCGATTAGTCGGTTATCAATCCTTATCGGTTCGGTTATCGGTTTACCCGATAAGAATAAAAACTATCCAAATATTTATTATAGAAATCGTGACCATACTATTAAGAGAAAGGAATTGAATTTTTGCAGAAGAGGGATTAAATTTCAACTTAGAAAATAAAACTTTATTTACATTTGAAAATCCCAATGAATGATCTCAATTTTCAAAATTATAAGTTAATAGGAGTAAGGGATAAGACATTCAACAATCTAATCTTACTAACTATCTCATTGTGGGCGGGCATAATTCATAGAAAAATAATAAAATCCTATTCTTGTAAATACTAAAGAATCAGTGCAACAAAAGAAACAAATAGAAAAATTAAAAATCTGAACAATTAATTATCTAAAGTTTAAAACTAAAAAAAACTTAATTGAAAAATTAAAATGAGAAATTCAGAAAAGTTTAAAACTTACTCTAAGGACTAAAGTCAGAAGATGAAGAGTAACTACCGAGAGAATTGAGAGAATGAAGTCATAATGTGGTTTTATATACTAGTGGGTAAAATTATAATTTTGATAAAGCTTATTGGGCTATCAGTTAAACCGTTAATAAAATTGGACAAACCGAGACTCGAACCGATAACCCATTAGTCAAATAATATTAAACTGTTATCGAACTATTTACCCAATAACCCGATACCGATAACCCAATAGTATTTTATCAGTTCGGTTTATCGGTTATACCAGATATATGCCGGCCCTAATCTGATAGGTCCATTTCTCCCCAACTGAAACCTAAATGCTTTAGCTGACATTCACGACACTCACGACCAAACTTTTCTAGTTTTATGGTCCTAGCGATGTAAAAGGGACCTTATGGTTTCCTCGACGCTTAATGTCTGGGTTAGTTTTCTGAGTATATTGTCACGTCCTTAGTTGTTAATTATGTATACGTACGGCATTTGATAACTCGTTCACGATCTTGCACAATTTGCTCACATTTTTGCTATGTCAAGTCAGTCTTACTACACTCAAGATCGCTAAAAGAATGGAAAAAAGAACACAAGAGAATTGTTAAAGGAAGCTTTGTATTAGAGAGAACTTGAATTGTTTGCTTCGTGAATTATAAATGAGTGGCCCCCTTTATATACTAGTCTCCTAGAGGTTAATGTGTAAATACTAATTATTATACAAGTCCTTGATATTTACAAGATAAGGGCTTTCTCTAGAATTCTTTACAAGTCTAGAAGATTCCAAGGACTTTCTTAGCAAATCCATAAGGATCTAGGTTCTTCCTAAGAAAATGTCCATATCTCTCTAGAATCTTCTCACAAATGCTAGCATTCTTCTTATGTAAGCTTCCACATGTCATTAATATATGCCAAATGGTGCCTATGTTGCATGATGACATGGCGGGTCATCACACTCTCCCCCACCCAATATTGCGACGACCGTGGCGCAATGCTACTGCATAAACTCTCGGATCTTATCTTTGAATTGCCACAAGTCTTCATATCGTTCCCACGTGGCCTCCTCCGGTGATTTCCCTTTCCAATGGACGAGGAACATAGCGATGGCTTTTTGCCCTTGTTTTCGCCTGGCCTGGTAATCTATGATAACCTCAATCTCCCGATCATGCGAGGAGGTGATAGTCATTGGCGCTCGACTTGATTGGCCCCTACTCGGATCATCCTTATCTTCATGATATGGCTTAAGCCTGCTGGCATGGAAGACATGGTAGATCTTCAGATACGATGGTATGTCAAGCTTGTATGAGATCTTGCCTACCTTGGCGACGATCTTAAATGGCCCCTCATACTTGCGAATCAGATTCTGATGCATGCCCTGTAGTGCCTTGAACTGTCTTGGGTTAAACTTCACCATGACCATGTCCCCAACTCTATAGTATGTGGGACGTCGCTTACGGTCCGCAAACTTCTTCATCTTTTTATCTGCCTTATCCAAGTAGGACTTAGCAGTATCGAGCTCCTCCTCCCATTATTTGGCCATATGATAAGCCCCCAAACTCTTTCCCTCGAACGCGGCTGGTAATGAATGTGGAGTTTGTGGTTGTTGGCCTATGACTAGCTCAAATGGTGTTCGCCTAGTGGACTCACTCCGCTGCAAGTTATAAGAGAATTGGGCAATGTCTAGGAGCTTTGCCCAATCTTTCCGATGCGCGCTTACATAATGCCTCAAGTAGCATTCTGTGGGTGGAAACTAGTAGAAAAGTGCAGTTTCGTGCCAAGTATGTCGAACAACTCTCTCCAAAAGTTCCCAGTGAAGCGGGGGTCTCGATCGCTGATGATATGCCTTGGTAAGCTCCAATACTTTACCACGTTCTTAAAGAATAGCTTGGCGGCTTCCTTAGCTATGCAACCTGGTGAGGCGGGCATGAAAGTGGCATATTTGGAAATCTATCCACGACTACCATAACAGACCATAACCGTCAGACTTCGGTAGGCAAGTGATAAAGTCCATAGTCACGCTCTCCCATGGACGCTCTGCAACTGGTAGTGGCTCCAAAAGTCCTTCGGGTTGTTGTTATTCAACCTTGTCCTGTTGATAGACAAGACAAGTCTGCACATAGCACTCTATGTCATCTCGCATGCGTGGCCAATAGTAGACTGACTCAACCAAGGCCCTAGTGCGACGTTGACCTGGATGACCAGCCCACATTGTGTCATGACTCTCCCTTATGATCTGTCGTCTAATGTCTCCAAACTTAGGAACGTAGACCCGCCGACCTGTGGTAAGTAGTAGGCCGTCTTCTATCCAATACCGTCTCGTCTTGCCTTTGTTAGCTAACTCAATAAGCTGTCTGGCTATTGGATCATGCTGCATGCCTTCTTTTATAGCCTCCCGAATGTCCCATCTCACTAAAGTGATTGCAGCAAGCTCGGCTTTCCGGCTCAAAGCATCGGCTACAACATTACCTTTTCCCGGCTTATATTACATCGCATAATCAAACTCGGCTAAGAAATCCTGCACCTAGCCTGCTTTGGTATGATCTTCTTCCGTGTCTGAAAGTAGCTAGTAGCCACATTATCAGTCTTGACCACTAACCTCGACCCGAGCAGATAATGTCTCCATGTACGAAGGCAATGCATAATGGCAGTCATTTCCTTCTCTTGCACTGTGTAACGCCGTTCCGTCTCATTTAACTTGCGGCTCTAAAATGCTATGGGATGCTTATCCTGCATCAGGACATACCCAATGGCGAAGTCTAAGGCATCTGTGTGCACCTCAAATGTCTTGGCAAAGTCAGGTAATGCCAAAACTGACTCGTCTGTTACAGCTGCCTTAAGGCATTCAAATGCCTTTTGACAATGCTCCGTCCAAACCCATGGCTTGTTCTTCTTTAGCAACTCAGTCAATGGTGAGGCCTTTGCTGAGTATCCACTGATGAACCGACGATAGTAGTTAACAAGGCCAAGGAAGGATCTCAACTCAGTTACCTTTATGGGTGCCTCCCACTCCTGGATAGCATGTACCTTAGCCTCGTCCATGCGTAGCTCGCCATTGATAATGACATGGCCCAAGAAGTGCACCTTTGATTATGCAAACTCGCACTTCTTTCTCTTGATGTATAGCTCATTCTCCCGCAAGACTTGGAGAACCTTCCTTATGTGCTCCATGTGTTCCTCCAAGGTGTTGTTGTAGATGACTATATCATCGAGGTAGACTACCACGAACTGATCAAGGTAGGGATGAAAAATCTTGTTCATAAGGGTGAAAAATATGGTCGGTGCATTGGTTAAGCCGAAGGGCATCACCAACCATTCAAAGGCTCCATATCTCATCATACATGTTGTCTTTGGATCATCCCCTTCCGCAATGTGAACCTGGTAGTAGCCCTTTCGAAGATCCACCTTGGTAAAGTACTTGGCTTGCCCAAGTCTATCGAACAAATCAGCAATGAGCGGGATCAGGTACTTATTCTTCACTGCAACCTTATTAAGTGCTTAGTAATCTATGCATAAGCGCAACGATCCATCCTTCTTCTTCTGGAACAATATTGGTGCGCTGAAAGGTGCCTTTGATGGGCGAATGTGACCAGCATCCAGCAACTCTTTCAATTGTTTCTTGAGCTCATCCAGCTCGGGCGGTGCCATACGATATGAGGCAAATGCGGGTGGCTTAGCCCCTGGCTCCAACTCAATCTTGTGATCCACCTCTCGCCTAGGAGGCAAGTGCTTAGGTAACTCCTCGGGCATGACATCTTTGTTCTCCTCAAGCAACTTCTCTATGCAAGGCAGCACTGTCTCTTGAAAATTCTTGTCTTCTTCTAGACTTGCAATGGTTGCCACGAACGTCGGCTCCCCCTTCTTGATCCCCTTGACAACCTGCATAGCTGAGAGTTGTGCTTGGATCTGTCCTTATGGCATAGTCACTGTAGGTACCATGCAATCTCCTTCTCGCTCCATAACCAAGAGACGTTGGAGGTAGGGGTCGATT